AAAGAGAAAGCGTGTGTCAGAGAGAGAGAGAGAAAGAGAGAGAGAGAGAGAGAGAGAGAGAGAGAGAGAGAGAGAGAGAGAGAGAGAGAGAGAGAGAGAGAGCGAGTGAAGAGAATGCACACGATTTCTCATGGCGGCTCGCGACATGAGGCTGGGAATAAAAGCGACATTCCCAGTGCGGGTCTGGGATGTACAGCGAGGTAAAATATTGAACGAGGCAGTTTAGCCACGCTTGTTTGTTCGTAGGCAACGTGTTAACATAGAAATTTCGTTAGCTAAGGATTAAAAAATTGCACATTTTGATAAAAATGTTATTATTTCTTATTAATGAAAATCTATTCATTTCCGTGAATTATTTCCAAGGCACGAGTACTGTACAGCGTTATCCGTAAGATTGGTCGATCGGGGACATGGATGATTAGCGAGCGACTCACCAGATGTCCGCTTTACGGCCGTAACCATCGCCATTTATCACTTCCGGAGCCATCCAGTATGGAGTACCTATCACAGTCTTGATTGCAGTCTGGCTTACGATGGTGCGCAGACGCTTCGATGCTCCGAAATCACCCAGCTTCACGTTCCCAGTCGAGTCACGCAGAATATTGGCACCTTGGTAAGTGTAAAATTATTACTTTACGCACAGAAATAACCGCGTTTCTAGTCGAGTCACGCAGAATATTGGCACCTTGGTGAGTATATGTGAAATTATTACTTTACATACACAAATAACCTGGTGTGTACGAGCGAAATAATTACTTAATCTACTTGCTTATGTACATTGAGAAACCTACAATAGTAGGTTTCATAATATCTGTCTTTCAAGTTAATATACAATCGTTAAGTCTATAAATAATTGTTAATAAAGTTGATATGCATTTAAAATAATCTTGCTTGCTGCATAGAAAACCTATGCTACTCACTGTACCTTAAAGCTCACGTATTAGTATTTCAAACATGATATGCCTAACTAAGCTCTGTGATCAGTAATGTAGTTCGGATACTCTGATAAATGTCAAGTAAAAATAAGCAAAGCATATCTTTCTTCCTTTGAAGGTTTTTGTTGATGATGCTGAACCATACGATTCAAACAGCTAATGTTACTCAGACTAACCCCAAGGTGTTTCGTGGACAGGCTAATGGCAAAAAACCTTCTAGAAAGAAATTTTAAAGGTTGAACCTTTTACTTTTTGCATTTGATTCACTGTTAAGGTGAACGTTACAGAACTGAAATCATTATCACTGTAGGCTGTATAACACGAAGAAATGTAACCACTACCGCAAGTTTTCACATCTGCGTCTTGCCATCGAATATAACCACACACATAAAATAAACAGTAAACTCATTTGTATTGATGCCCCGTTCAATTTTTTTTATAAAGATACCGCAGTGGTTGCAGTGAGGCTCAAGCAAACATGGAGGTCAAACTTAGCGACGACTCTCAGACGTTTTCCAAATTTTCACACGTACAAAAAAAAATTTAATAAGAAAATTAAATTAGATAAAATCATGTAAAAAAATATGAGATCGGCAGGTTCACATCACAGATGCCGCGCGCACGCTATACTGGCCCATCACACGATCGCTTTACCTAACACGAAACGCGTTCAAACATATGCCGACGCGACATGTGCAGCCGGCTGGCGTGCGGGAAACTTACTCTTAATATCCCTGTGGACTATCATGTTGGAATGTAAGAAGTAAATGCCTTCGAGTATCTGGCGCGTGTACTTCCGACAAACGCTCTCGGTTAGTGCTCCGTAGCTTCGGATTTCATCCTTCACAGAACCCTGCAAACGAGATGAAAATTCGATAAGCGCGAGATAAAAAAAAAGCAGCGGGTGCGCCGTGTGCGCGACGCGACAGTGATGCGAAATAATAAGCGTTAGAACACGACGTTACAACGTTACACGGATGTGACGAGTTATAATGAACGCACGCACAATGATGACGTGCGACAACGAGAAATGATGCGTGGCAATGATGTGATAATGAGACATCTGAGGTAATGATGCACGACATGAGACACAAACGATGTGTGATGATAAAGCGTGACGGCCTGTGACGACGATGAGTGACAATGATGTGTGATAACGCCACATGTGTAACAATGACACTAGATAATGATGCGTGATTTAAAAGGCATGAGAATGATGTAACATATCGATGCAAGACAATGAGGCATGATAATAATTCAAGTGATAATGATTCAAGACAATGATGCGTGATAATACTGTGACAATGATGCATACTAATAATGCAGGGCAATGAGGGATGACAACAATGTAAACGATAATGACTCAAGGCAATGACGTGCAATAATGCTGTGATAATGATGGATGATAATGATATTGATAAGTGACAATCATGCATTGAGATTGACCCTAATGTTTGGCATGATAATGACATATGACAACCAACCACATCTTACAATGATGCAAAAAATAACATATGGAATTCGATTGATTGAACAGTGATTAATTTAATCATAGTGTATTAAATTAACGTATTTACTCGTGTATAAGGTGCACTTTTTTATACCTAAATTCAATAAAAAAAGTTGGGATCCGACATCCAGCATATTTTGCCAACTGTATATCATCCATATATTGAAACTACCGACATTATCACCCGACTGATAAGCAAATGTAAGGTTTCTAGCCTTTTACTGATTCTTAATCGATCTTAATATTGATCTTCTATATGGTTATACTTAACATCATGCATGCATTTTACAATTGTTCCATAATTATGTTCATAATTTACTTTTGACAATAAATGTGTTGCAATATGGCAACCTGTTTTAACTTTTATCCAATGCTCAACGTGACACCAATGTTCAATACCAATACATATTCCAGTAATTATATTTCATTAAATTAATTTTGTACGAATTTTCAAGGAATTACATGGGGTGCGACTTATACACGCGTAAATACGGCAATTATGACACTACAACCTCACCTATCAATTTCATGAACGATAAATGTCACACTGCCCAGTTAAACATTAAAGGGAAATATTCATTCACTATTTCATATTGTTTTGCTTGCTGCTTAAAATGTAGGAAGTCCCTAACATTAAATGTAATTTGCACATGGCAAGACCAAGCAACTACATATCTATATATATAAAGTTGTTCAGCCGAATTTGTGTGTTCGCGCATAACTAGAGAACTCCGCAAATTTCAAAAAAGTTAAAAAGTTAAAAATTTATAAAAATTCTATTCATCAATAGATGGCGTACAGATTAACATTATACATCACGTACGTGTGAATCCATGGTGTATAACCAACCCTAACGGCCCAGTAGCCGAATGGATAAAGCATCGGACTCCTAAACCATTGATTCAGGGTTCGAATCCCACCTCAAGAAATGCTTTGTTTCTTTACTTTTGGACTGTTTAGTATGTACTTCTGCGTATTCACCGTTAATTTCAAAATTTAAATCTTTTTACCACATTTAAACGTTTAGTAAAAATCCAGAATAAACTATGGTAGATGATAATGATAGCGCAAACTGGCGGGAACACTTCACGGAAGCCTATGTAGGTTACATATCAAATATTTTCTATATAATTTCATTTTATTATTTATAATTTTTGACTTTTTTATTTTAATGACTTTTATCTTTTGATTTTTTATTATTTTTTACTGTTGAGATGGGATGGGATGGCATGCGATGGGATGGGATGGCATGGCATGGGATGGCATGGGATAGGATGGTATAGGATGGGATGCGGTGGGATGGGATGGGATGGGATGGGATGGGATGGGATGGCATGGCATGGCCTGGGATGCGATGAGATGGCATGCGATGGGATGGGATGGGATGGCATGGCATGGCATGGAATGCGATGGATGGATGGATGCATGGATGGATGCATGGATAGATAAATAGTTTGATTTTTTTAGGTATTTTCCTTTCAACCAAGCGGTCACCAACTGAGTAACGCCACTGATTTCCCCGGGCAACGCCGGGTATCTCGCTAGTACACAATATAATACACACTATAATACACAATATTGATATTTTGCAGTATCCAACATGGTGTGTACATCACAGCACACAGATACAATGACTAAGTTAACACATTACTACAGAACTAAGCAATTTCAAATAATTTAACTAAACGTAAGTAATTAACCAAATTATTCCAATTTAATACTAATTGTTTTTTTTTATTCTAATGAATGTGACTAATCAATGAAGACAAGTGCAACAGTCACGATTGTAATGGAAGCTTGGTCGCGCTTGTGTTGCCATGACTACGGACAATGCTCACCCCCGTCATGTGTTCCATGAAGATGCATAGTTCATGCTCGTCCTGTAACGAACCAAAGTACTGAACGATCCTCTCGTGTCGCATGTTCTTCAGCAGCTGTATCTCACACTCGAGTGCTATCACCTCCTGCAAGGCAACACCACACTTATTAGTTTCCCGACATCAAAATCGGTATATAGTATAGGGCAACCGTACACTATTACGTAAAACGCGATTATAGGAAGATTTAAATTTCCGTAGTTACTCAAGATTACTTCGGTTACAATTTGCTAGTCTGAAGTTGAGCATATGTCGCTGCCTACTGCTCACCACCACTACCGCTACTACCACTATAACCACCCCTACCACCACCACTACCACTACTACCACTATAACCACCACTACCACCACCACTGTACCACCACTACCACTATAACCACCACTACCACCACCACTGTACCACCACTGTAACCACCACTACCACCACCACTACCACTACTACTACCACCACTACTACCACTACCACTATAACCACCACTACCACCACTACCACCACCACTATAACTACCACCACTACCACTACTACTACCACCACTACTACTACTACTACTATAACTACCAGTCACACTATTACCTCTATAACAACCACTACCACTACTACCACTATAACTACTTCTTCTACTACTACGACATATGTGCTATTGTTAGGCCTACTACTAATGGTGCTGCTGCTGCTGTTGCCATTACTGTTACTCTTGGTACTGTAGCTACTACTTATTTTGCTACTACTCCTGCTACAACTACTACTACAGCACAGTTCATTAATGCACGATCTCGGTACTTGCCTTTCTCTGTTCGTGGTTGTGCTGGGAGAGCTGGACCTTCTTCACAGCCAGTTCACGCCCCGTGTCAGCATCATAGCACAGGTAGACTTGCCCGAAGGCTCCAGCACCCAGCAGTTTACCCAGCCGCCAATTTGTCGGCGCTCTGGGTGCTGTGAAAGAAGGACAAAGTTTACAAAGTGTTACCTAAATTTAGACAGCACATAAGCCATCATTGAGGGTCAACAAGATTTTTTCGATAATCACCCATTCATGAGGATTGGAATGGACATGACCAAATTTCATCGATAATTGAATTCCACTTGCTGTTCTAGGTGAGATGCAATGCACTTCTCAAGATTGAAAACCCATGAATAGCATCCCACACAACAACAAAACTTGGATGACCCAAATGCCCATTTTTACAGAATGAAAACATGCCTACTCACATTCTCAACAGGAGTAAATTTACCAACCAACACTCACAGGCTACCCACAGCCCCAACCCCCGGGGAAAAAGAATTAACAAGCTACACTTACAGGATGAAAATACGCACAGCCACCATTAACAAGTCAAAACGTGTCCAACCACCCTTACAGGATCAAAACGCTGCTAACCAAGCAGAACAAACAACCCGCCCTAACAGGAGGGAAACCACTCGGCGCACGAGCCGCCGCCTCGTCCGCACCGCCTCCTCCTCACTTACATCTCGCACTGTCGGGATCTCGCATCGACATGGACGACAGCGAGGCGATGTCGAAGTCGCTGCCGCGCTTCTGCCGGTCGCCGTACGAGTCGAACTCTGGCGCGAGGCCGCTGCTGCTGCTGCTGTCACTCAGCGAGCGCTCGCTGCTCGACCTGTGCTGCGTGATGCTGCTGTGCTGCCTCAGCTCCGACGGACTAGGGTGGCCTCCTCTCCTCGCTCGCGGAACCGTGTTCCTCTCTGCGCGAAGGCAAACGTAAGAAACTGAACGCGAGAGCCTCGGTCACGATATTGTCGGGAATTAGCGAGCTTTCACGAATTATTAAATGGATTGTTAACCAGCTAATTGATATTAACAAGTATTAACCAACCGTTGCATTTTGACCGGCTTAAGGATAGTCAATCATTAGTCATTATTATCAAATTAGTAGGCATTAACCATCTTAAGTGTATGAAAAGGTATCAAAAGTTAAATCATTGTGGGTTGCAGGATTTCAACAATATAATTAGTAATTGGCAGGACTTTCCTCAAGGTGTCAACTCTGACCACAGATATTTACTGAGATACAGTCAAACCCAGATTAGCAGAGACTTCTATAGAACAGAAACTTATCTATAAAAGATTTGTGTTTCCCTGAGTGGCAGTCACACAGGGAAACCACTTTTATAGAAGTTACATCTATAAAGGATTTGGGATTTCCCTACAGTGACGCCTTGACAGGTTTGACTGTATAAGAGTTCAGTGGGTGTGCTGTACCTAAATCGTCCTCTCTGTGACGAGAGAGCCTCTTTGGAAACGTTCCACCTTTAGAGTCATGCTGTCTCGCCTCAGGCGGTTTGCCTCGTATTGGAAAAGTATTATTGCTGCGCAGAAAAATGAGCATTTAAAAAATGCGGTGCACCCACTTCACGTAGCTAAATTCCTTTTTCTTAAACAATACTGAAGGTAGGTGGTTTTACAAACGGTATGTGAAGTTTTAAATTCAAGATATTCTTATTCACTTTATACGAGTGGCATATGACATTATCTTGACATAGCTTTATAAGCCTTTTCTAATGAATAGTTGTCATTTATAGGTGCATTACAGCAGCAATATTTACCTTCCAAATGAGTGCAAGCTACCAATAGATGCATAACTACTCGATCGTGATAGGTCTGAACTGCTGAACTGTAGGTAAGATATAACAATAGGATAAGTTTAATATATATACCTCTATGTTTATCATCCCTCGCAAATGTCTGCATTTATGACAAAAACAAGTCCTTTTAGTGCACAGCCTTCTTAAACAAGTATAGTAGCGTGAACATAACTACACAATTATCATATCACATAAACAGGTAGTAGTACCATGATGAAATTCGATTCAAAATAACACGTTAGGTGTAAACGACGCGGTAAAATCATTTCATACAAAACGCACCGAACCTCTACGTATCGTACCGCCCACCGACCGTTACCGTACAAGACACCAATGCTCACCTCTTCGGGATCCTCGGGGATGAACATGCCTTCCTTAGATTCGCCGCAGAACCTCGGCCTTCCCTGCTGCGATGTCAGCACGCCGTCGTTGTCCCACTCCGTCGGAACACAACCTGGAGGCGGAGAATCCGCTCGGTGGCCGGAATTACCCTGGAAAATCAACGAGGACGTCACGACGACGCTGCGCACAGGAGCACAGAAACCGGGGAAGGTGTTGGTCGCTTACCTATCCATCACCACTGAATCTCATTGTAACAGTGCAACTGAAGGCGCTCTCACCGGCAGTGTAATTCTTACGTGAACTACAGGAACACACTTGCGCCTAGCACAGGGCCACCGCGTTGATGCCAAAGGATTCTACTTGCTAGTCTGAAGTTTTCACGTATTTCCGAGACATAGCTTATAAGAAATGACCAAAATGCATGGAAACTAACCCCAACACGAGTAGGTAAAATAATCTGATTCACATACTTCCCCTACCCCTGTAACTAAATCACACTTCCCTCATAACTTCCTGCTACTGCAGAACACACCCTGCCCTGGTCGCAAAACTGATCGTGACCAGATAAAATCACCATGCACTTTCCGCGTGATCCATTGCTAGCACTAACGCAGCGCTGGCCCAGTAGCAAAAAATAGCAAGAC